ACGATCCTCATTGGTCAGGTGAAACTACAACAATCCTCATTGGTCAGGTGAAACTACAACAATCCTCTTTGGTCAGATGAAACTACAACAATCCTCATTAGTCAGGTGAAACTACAACGATCCTCTTTGGTCAGGTGAAACTACAACAATCCTCTTTGGTCAGGTAAAACTACAACGATCATCATTGGACAGGTGAAACTACAACAATCCTCATTGGTCAGGTGAAACTACAACAATCCTCATTGGTCAGGTAAAACTACAACAATCCTCATTGGTCAGGTGAAACAACAATCCTCATCAACCAAGTGAAAAATATACCTAAGAAGCATTCACGGGACTGTATCGTGCTATCTGGTGGCATTTTAGATACATATTTGAGTGTTTTAATTTATTTTACGGACAACATTTTTTGGTTGATTCATTCACACTATTATTGGAAAGCATCGCAAAAATTCAAATTTATTTCAAATGCGAAAGACAGCTCTCCTTTTTTGTCTCCGACAAAAATATGTTGATTGTTGGAATTACCCGAAATTATCCTTTGCGCCATATCTCTTTTCTGATGAATCTAAATCAACTAGATATTTAAAATGTCGGAGCCAATATGAACAGATTAATTTCAGATTTTTTGCTGTTGTCCCCCAAACCCTTTTTATGTCATCAACATTTCTCAGAACATAAGCTGACAGTAGCTCCTATATCGATGTTTAGATATATGTATACATATATATCCAGTAGCTCTACTGACGATAGGCCTAGGACTACTCTTAAAAATAAACTCTATCAGTTCATGACAGGGACAAATGAAGGCCTAGATATAATGTCACAGTTAGCAAAATCTACATGTACGTGGCTTTTTTTCTGACTTTTGAGGCTTTGCCTTTATCATATTACATTTGCAGGCGAAGTGAATGTAAAACTCAGATGGATCCTATACGCCCATATATCCGCCCTAAAACCTATAACAATAATGCTAGTAACAAATCAATCTACAATTGTTATTTGGAAGACTTAATTGGTGAAAAAAATTTACACAAAAATACACCCATTCCGGAAAAAATGGGTGTACTTTTTTGACAGGATATCGATATCCACCTTCACTTTACTAAGATGAATATCGGCCTCGCTTGTATTCCCGATAACTGGTCAGTATACCATGGACTGTTTTGTGAATACTCAAGCATTGTGCTAGATGTATTTGGCAAGGATTACACAAAATGATATCAATGTACTTGTAAAGGAGTCGTTAAAAGTAAATAAACAACTCCACGAAAAATTGGATATATACATGGTTTACATATGTTTCCCAAATAAAAAAGAATAATAATATTAACTATGACTTCCATCACGACCCATTCTTTGCAAAAAAGAAAAGGAAAATGAAACTATTGTTTAAAAAGTCGATACATGCTAAATTTGAATCTTACTTTTTTGAAAAAATGCTTAGTTTGGACGAAAATATTAAGTTATTTCTATACAATAAAATTTAAAAAAAAGTATGCAGAGGAACACTACCTATCGTTACCCAACTTTGAATATAGAAAATTGATGGCAAAGCTGAGACTAAGCCTCTTTATTAAAAAGTCATTTGAGCTGCGGAAGGCAGGCTTGCAGAATGCATAAGTATGTAGTTTTTGCTGTCTATAATATAGTATCAATGTTTGTTTGATGTTTGCAGCTCGATCCTTGTAAATTGGATGTAAAAATGCAATAAAGTTGATTGATTGATAACTGATCAGAATTGTGTTCGGTCGGTCCGGCATTACTAGTCCCTAATACTAATACTGTCTAATAGCCGTTTTAGACTCGTCGATGCCTAAGTTAATGTCGCAAGAGGATGTTGTTTCATGTGAACCTACAGCTGCTTGGAAGAAGTCATGTATCAACTTGTTCTTCGAAGATAAGGCGGGTTTTTCGTTGGCTTTGCAGCCATGTTTCCGCTGTTGACAACTTTAACAAGAGGCCCAAGGGCCTTAGCGGTCACCTGAGTTATATCATAGGTACTGGTAGCTTTATTTTATTGTTTAGATGTGATGTGGAAATCAGCATGTAAACTAAGTGAAATACAATACTTGTCATGTCATCAATGGATAAGAATTTGAAAATATTGGTAAATGTTCCCTTTGGGGCCCCGCCCTAGCCCCTGGGGATGGGGCAGGAATCCCAATTTTACAAAGTAATACTCTCATTCACCCAAGATGATTCTGACTAAGTTTGAGTAATTTTCTGCTGAAAATGGATAAAATATATACCGAAAAGTGTTATTTCCCTATATAAACTATATTAAACGTTACCCCCTCCCCAAGGGAGAACGGATAGCTCGGGGTCCTGATATTTTCAATTTAAATAAAGCCCCTGATGATCTTTCTTTCCACGTAAAGAAAATCACTGTAGTACCTCTGAGTCTGGAGAAGAAGATTTTTGAAATATTGATTAATTTTCCCTTTGGGGCCCCGCCCTGGCCCCAGGGGTCGGGGTAGGAATCTCAATTTTACAATTTGAAACCATCTACCTCCAAGGATAATTCTCACCAAGTAAAAATAATTTCCTACAGAAAGTTGTCAAAATATACCCAAAAGTGTTATTTCCCTATATAAACTATAGTAAACTTTACCCCCTCCCCAAGGGAGAACGGATAGCTCGGGGGTCCTGAAATTTACAATTTAAGTAAAGCCCCTGATGATCTTTCTTTCCACGTAGAGAAAATCACTGTAGTACCTCTGAGTCTGGAGAAGAAGATTTTTGAAATATTGATTAATTTTCCCTTTGGGGCCCCGCCCTGGCCCCAGGGGTTGGGGTAGGAATCCCAATTTTACAATTTTGAAGCCTCATCTACCAAGGATAATTCTGACCAAGTTTGAAAAAAAATCCATCCACTGGTTCTTGAGAAGAAGTTGAAAATGTAAAAGTTTACGGACGACGCACGACGGACGACGGACGGCGACGGACGAAAAGCGATTAGAATAGGTCACTTGAGCAAAGCTCAGGTGACCTAAAAATACTTATAATAAAATCGGCACCAGGTACCCTATGTTAGAACTTCCGGATTCGTACTGATTGTCGGCTGTTGGTTATACAGTTAAATTTAATATATTTTTCAATTGAATCACACATCATTTAATCACTTTTCCGACCAACAAAATAAAGAAATAAATGAATAAAAATGTAATAGTATATTTGAATTTTTGATGTGCATGCAACTGCTTATTTGCTTACATGGCAGCTATGCGCCTGCCCTCCCCTTCATTTACACAAATTTGATTTTCTTGGCACTTCAGGTCAGGCGAGCAAATAAAACTCTGTGTCATTGGTAACAACTCAGAGTCGTAGCGAGTAAAATTCTCATTAGCTGCTTATTGAAAATTTACTGAAGAGAAAAAAATTTAAGATGAAAAGTGATAGTGTTTTGCTAATGTCTGTATCATAAGAGCAAAACTTCTGAGATTTGAGGCCCCCTTAACAAATATACAAAAGCCTCACCTGAGCTTTGCGCCCCCCTTATCAAATATACAAAAGCCTCACCTGAGATTTGAGCCCCCCTTATCAAATATACAAAAGCCTCACCTGAGATTTGACCACGCTTATCAAATATAAAAAAGCTTCACCTGAGATTTGACCGCCCTTATCAAATATACAAAAGCCTCACCTGAGATTTGAGCCCCCCCCCCCCTTATCAAATATACATAAGCCTCACCTGAGATTTGACCCCCCTTATCAAATAAACAAAAGCCTCACCTGAGATTTGACCCCCCTTGTCAAATATACAAAAGCCTCAACTGAGATTTGACCCCCCCTTATCAAATATACAAAAGCCTCACCTGAGATTTGACCCCCCTTTTCAAACATACAAAAGCCTCACCTGAGATTTGACCCCCCGTATTAAATATAAAAAAGCCTCACCTGAGATTTGACCCCCCTTATCAAATATACAAAAGACTCACCTGAGATTTGACCCCACTTTTTATCAAATATACAAAAGCCTCACCTGAGATTTGACCCAATTCTATATAGAAAATAACAAATACACCAACTGAAATAAAATCCCTACCTGACATTTGACCCCACTTTTTATAAAATATAACATAAGACTTGCATTAGATTTGACCTCACTCTATAAAATATAACAAAATAAAATCATTCCCCAACACTTTAAATGAAAAAGAACAATCTTTATTAAGATGAAGTATTAATTTATTACATACATTTTTGTATTTTACCAGTGAAATATCAAAAATTATCAGTGTGATAGAAACTTATATCATATCTTACTGAGTGAAGATTTATGAAACACTACTAAGTATATCTACGCAGGTTTTCTGTTCAGTTGCAGATGAAGAGATGGTAGAATAAGTGGTTGTTTTTGTACATCTTTGGTACATATACACAAATATATAATTATACTGACATAATTAGTAGCATTTTTTTGTAAGCAAAACATACCATAAAATTGCAAAAGAACCAAGTAGAATTTCATTGAGTAGCCCAAGCGTGATGTCAATAGAACCTTGCATAAAATATGCCGCCACGAATTCCCACATTGTTTTGATGCAGCAATATTTTCATCGTTTTCTTCGAAAAATGAATACATGTAGAAAGTTGAATGGTTTTCTTACTACATGTAGTAGATGATAATTGAGTAATAAGATAACAAACTTTCGGTTTTCTTGTTCTTTATCTACATTTGAGTACGTAAATATATAGGATCTTGCATGAAACTAGTCTAAGAATTTTTTCGATTTAGCGAGCCTCTGGCGTGCTAAAATGAAAAATTTGTGACGAGTTTCATAAATTTCATATGGAATGAAAACGAGTGTTAGGTCCTTTTTATCAAATAATCAAGATTTGTGGCCTTTATTCGTGTGAAACAACAATTTTCATGCAACCTTGAAATGTAAAAAGCCGCCATTTTGACTCCACTGCGTAGTCTGTGACGTCATGTGCTTGACCTAGGCGTGACGTCACAATTGAAACTTACAACCAATCACAGGGCTGATAGGACATATTACATGGGTTAATACGCAAAAAAATATGACATGGGTATATTCACTGGATAACACAGTACATTATGTGATAATACGGGAAGAATTGAGATCTATAGATTTGTATGTGTTTATTGATGTGTTTTGTCTGACATTGTTACATGGTTATATATCAGGCAAGTCCTAGTGTATAAGTTACCACAGATGTTGACGGATGTTTGGTTGACAGACCATTTGTTATGTTACCACAGATGTTGACGGATGTTTGGTTGACAGAACATTTGTTATGTTACCACAGATGGTGACGGATGTTTGGTTGACAGAACATTTGTTACTAATTATCAGTAGTCAACAGATCCATTATTTTACAAATGTTTTGGTTGAAAATTGTCCTAAAACTGTGAGAAATTTGAATGAGTATAAAATATGCACTTGTTTTCTCAGTGTGACTTCATTTCATCTGCTAACATGCCCAACCAATTAAAATGTTAGGATAGACACCTAAATCTTTTTCAAAAATTCTATTTTGTTGTTGATACATTATATTAAGTTAAGAAGATCAAATAAATTACTTTGAAAAAAAAAAAAAAAAAAGTTACAACAGGAAGTCCACAATCACCACACTCATCAGGAAGGTGTCAGACCTTCCTTAAAGTCTAATTAATGGAAACAGGAAACTATTACTTTCAATTGTAAAATCCCATGTTCAAGGAAATGTCCTTTATTATGATGTGACTTGCAATACAAGATGGGCAATTAAAATTATTACCGGTAGAAGAAAAGGACATATATCAGATTTCCTTCTGAATATCTGCGTTGTACTTTTCAGGACTAAATTGCTGTCTAATAGATTGTATAAAGCATAACCTTATATGGTAATAAGACATTAGACACATAAGCATTTTACATAAAATGAACAATTGGAAATTTCGAATTGATTTAAAAACACTTTTTGTGTTGTCTGTGTATATCAAAAATAAATCCAGTTTCAATGTTTAGCAGTATGATGTGATGAAATCTTAAGCAAGTCTTATAAGTCTGTTAATAGGCTTTCTGGCCTTTCATCTGGATGATCTGGCTAAGGATTCTCAGAGGAGACATAACTCTCATAAAAATGTCGGATAAAAAACAAACACAGGGGAACAACTTCAGACTGTCATGATTATATCTGTGGAGTTTACAAAAACTGTAGACATTTTCTGGACAAGATTTGGCTAATAATTTTGTAACAGTGGCATAAATCTGAAACACTAAATTAGCACAGAAGTAGAATTTCAATGGGATTATTACTGCAACTCAGTTTCATGAAAATATGATGAAAATGCTTGGAGTTGTCCGAACAAGATCAAATCATTTGCTGCAAAATTTACCAATTCCAAGTATAATTATTCAGTTGAAAAGATGAAGATCAGATGATGAAAATGGGTAAGATTAACATGCACAAATCTTTTGAAAAAAATAACTAAGATATAAAAACAATACTATTTATCTTGATTGTATTTTAATTGACTAAAGAACTTTATTGTTTATTACCATTTATTTCATATGGCTGTAAATAATTTCCTCTTTTTCTATAGAAACTAAGAGTTACTTCACACCTGGTAAAAATGACATCACAACTGAGGCGAACACTAATGCTATAATGATGTTCACTATGTAATACATAAACATGGACTGTTTCCTCACTTTCTTCATTCTTCCTTCTTTTTTGTAAAATTCTAGGACTTCCTTAATGTCATTTTTCTTTTCCGGATTATAACGGAGATCCTTGCGAGCCTTATTTACGCTGTAGTAATGTGTTACACAAGACTTGTACACCTACAAACAAGAAAATCACAGTAGTATTACGGAGAATGTTCAAATAGATTAGTAAAAACAATTTGAAATTGAAAAGATTAAATGATTACTAAAAATTACTTTATTAACCTTTCTTATGCAGTCCAATAATTCAGCAGACACTCGTCTTGGTATGTCAACACAAATGGTTGACATACGTGAAGAAGTAGTATGATAAATGCATGTTAGACAGAGGGTTCTTCCAAGGGCAGGTACAGGACAGAAAGGGCAGTTACAGGACAGGACAGGGCAGTTACAGGACAGAAAGGGCAGGTACAGGACAGAAAGGGCAGTTACAGAACAGAAAGGGCAGGTACAGGACAGAAAGGGCAGTTACAAGACAGAAAGGGCAGTTACAGGACAGAAAGGGCAGTTACAGGACAGAAAGGGCTATACAGGACTGAAAGGGCAGGTACAGGACAGAAAGGGCAGTTACAGAACAGAAATGGCAGTTACAGAACAGAAAGGACAGGTACAGGACAGAAAGGGCAGGTACTTGACAGAATGGGCAGGTACAGGACAGTAAGGGCAGTTATAGGACAGAAATGGCAGTTACAGGACAGAAAGGACAGTTACAGGACAGAAAGGGCAGTGACAAGACAGAAATGGCAGTTACAGGACAGAAAGGGCAGTTACAGGACAGAAAGGACAGTTACAGGACAGAAAGGGCAGTGACAAGACAGAAATGGCAGTTACAGAACAGAAAGGGCAGGTACAGGACAGAAAGGGTAGGTACAGGACAGAAAGGGCAGTTACAAGACAGAAAAGGCAGTTACAGGACAGAAAGGGCAGTTACAGAACAGAAAGGACAGGTACAGAACAGAAAGGGCAGGTACAAGACAGAAAGGGCAGGTACAGGACAGAAGGGGCAGTTACAGGACAGAAAGAGCAGGTACAGGACAGAAGGGGCAGTTACAGGTCAGAAAGGGCAGTTACAGAACAGAAAGGACAGGTACAGGACAGAAAGGGCATGTACAGGACAGAAAGGGCAGTTATAGGACAGAAAGGGCAGGTACAGGACATAAAGGGCAGTTATAGGACAGAAAGGGCAGTTACAGAACAGAAAGGGCAGGTACAGGACAGAAAGGGCAGGTACAGAACAGAAAGGGCAGGTACAGGACAGAAAGGGCAGGTACAGGACAGAAGGGGCAGTTACAGGACAGAAAGGGCAGGTACAGGACAGAAAGGGCAGGTACAGGACAGAAAGGGCAGGTACAGGACAGAAAGGGCAGTTACAGAACAGAAAGGGCAGGTACAGGACAGAAAGGGCAGTTACAGAACAGAAAGGACAGTTACAGAACAGAAAGGAAAGGTACAGGACAGAAAGGGCAGGTACAGGACAGAAAGGGCAGTTACAGAACAGAAAGGGCAGGTATAGGACAGAAAGGGCAGTTACAGAACAGAAAGGGCAGGTACAGGACAGAAAGGGCAGTTACAGGACAGAAAGGACATGTACAGGACAGAAAGGGCAGGTACAGGACAGAAGGGGCAGGTACAGGACAGAAGGGGCAGTTATAGGACAGAAAGGGCAGGTACAGGACAGAAAGGGCAGGTACAGGACAGAAAGGGCAGGTACAGGACAGAAAGGGCAGTTACAGAACAGAAAGGGCAGGTACAGGACAGAAAGGGCAGTTACAGAACAGAAAGGACAGTTACAGAACAGAAAGGAAAGGTACAGGACAGAAAGGGCAGGTACAGGACAGAAAGGGCAGTTACAGGACAGAAAGGACATGTACAGGACAGAAAGGGCAGGTACAGGACAGAAGGGGCAGGTACAGGACAGAAGGGGCAGTTATAGGAACATATATACTGACGTTATGGTAATTATGTCTAAAATGAAATAATACATTTCTCACTGATAATATAACCACAAAAAGTAATTCATACAAATGTATCATAGAAAAGATAACTGTTTATTTGTGGTGGAGGGGAGACAACTCTTACAGGAGCAAGGCCAAGCAGGACTGGTGAGTTCAAGCTAGTTTAGCTGCTCAGTGTTAACAATGTCAAGGAACTACCAGGTTAATAAAATAGGGAAAATTTGTTCATATGGCATTCAAGAAAGAAAAAAATATTGAAGGCTTAATTATAATACTGTTTCATTTAAAGGTACTTAAATGGGTATAAATTAGCATCAGAAATGATGTATCAAAAATAAACCCCAGCAATGGAAGAGTGTAATTTTGTGTCAGATGCCATATGAGTATGATAAATTTTATCGTGTTTTCAGACAATTGTAATTCAAACATTAATGATACACAGTATTTATTCTCATGAATGTTTAAACTGAATTTTTATAATCAGGCACATCTGCAGAAGGTATGTGAACAATGTTTTTTTTCCCTACTGGAACACATAAATAGATAGTACATTTTCCCTTAAATACATGTTCAGCTTTAAGATTATCCCCAGGGTTATTAGCCAAGACAATTTATATATATGAATATTTATTTTGCATTTATTTGACTTTGACCTAAAAGTAAAGGTCCTAGTTATTTAATTCCAGTGCATTGCACACCTGCTGTGTACACTATATATATTTCTGGTAGAACATGTGACCACTTTATATCCCCCCTCGAATGTGTGTGTTACAATGTTTCTCCTGTGTACACTATATATTTCTTGAAGAACACTTTATATTCTCCTCTGGAACGCTGGTATTACAGTATTTCTGCTGTGTATACAATATTTCTGCTGTGTATACATTATTTCTGCTGTGTATACAATATTTCTCCTGTGTATAAAATATTTCTCCTGTGAATACATTATTTCTGCTGTGTATACATTATTTCTCCTGTGTATACATTATTTCTGCTGTGTATACAATATTTCTGCTGTGTATACAATATTTCTCCTGTGTATACAATATTTCTGCTGTGTATACATTATTTCTCCTGTGAATCAATATTTCTCCTGTGTACACTATATATTTCTCGTAGAACATGTGACCACTTTACACCCCTCCCCTGGAATGTGTGTGGTACAATATTACTCCTAGAACTACTGTACCTCTGTTCTGGTAAGCATGGGCTGGAAGTTATGGATCCTAGCTACGATGAAATGGACCCATTCTGTGATAAAAGCTGAAAATAATAGTGTTTATATGAACTCTTATAAGTAGTTAAAACTGATTCAGGAGCACCATTGTCCAGAAATCATCTGTCGATCAGATTAAAGAAGTGTTTGTAATAGCTTTTGTGAATTTGTTTTTAATGTAAGCTGATGTGGAATAGATAAGCAAGCTTAACTGACTCAAAATATATAAAATGGCTAACAATATTCACCAACAAAGATATCTAATGGTTAAAACATCTTCACATATCTGGAATCATTCACTAGTAATTATGCTCTCTACAATATAACTAACTGTTGGTAACTTGATTTATCATTTAACTTATAGTACTTCAGGGGTAATGCCAAGGATGAAGTATTCATTTTTCCATCAAATGTAGATAATAGGACATACTTATAAGCATTTACTTTAAATAGGCATTGAAACAATAATGGAATTTCAATACCTTGAAACTTTTTTATGTTTCAATTGTCAACATCAGAAAAAATCTAAAAACAATGTTGAGATTCCTTTCATATTTGTGACTATGTGTTTACACTACTTACCAAAGTAATAGAGCAGAGTGACTGGGATCACAATCTTAGGCATGCTATAGCCGAGACCTTCAATCTGTCAACAGACCACATACATTATACCTTAGCATGTTATAGCCGACACCTACAATCTGTCAACAGACAACACACATTATACCTCAGCATGTTATAGTCGACACCTACAATCTGTCAACAGACAACACACATTATACCTCAGCATGTTATAGTCGACACCTCCAATCTGTCAACAGACAACACACATTATACCTCAACATGTTATAGCCGAGACCTTCAATCTGTCAACAGAAAACACACATTATACCTCAGCAGGTTATAGCTGACGCCTGCAATCTGTCAACAGACTACACACATTATAACTCAATATGTTATAGCTGACACCTACAATCTGTCAACAGACAACACACATTATACCTCAACAGGTTATAGCTGACACCTACAATCTGTCAACAGACAACACACATTATTCCTCAACATGTTATAGCCGAGACCTTCAATCTGTCAACAGACAACACACATTATACCTCAGCAGGTTATAGCTGACACCTGCAATCTGTCAACAGACTACACACATTATAACTCAATATGTTATAGCTGACACCTACAATCTGTCAACAGACAACACACATAATACCTCAACATGTTATAGCCGACACCTTAAATCTGTCAACAGACAACACACATTATACCTCAACATGTTATAGCCAACACCTATAATCTGTCAACAGACAACACACATTATACCTCAACATGTTATAGCCGACCCCTTCAATCTGTCAACAGACAACACACATTATACCTCAACATGTTACAGCCGACACTTACAATCTGTCAACAGACAACACACATTATACCTCAGCAGGTTAAAGCCGACACCTTCAATCTGTCAACAGACAACACACATTATACCTCAACATGTTATAGCCGACACCTTCAATCTGTCAACAGACAACACACATTATACCTCAACATGTTATAGCCGACACCTACAATCTGTCAACAGACAACACACATTATACCTCA